GGGGAGGGGGCGGGGGCACACAGGGGGTGATAAAGAACCTGCTCTCCTCTCCTGGTCCTTGTGAGTCTCTTTTGGGGGGTGGTTGGGGTGAGGGGGCACCCCCACGTCCCACATCGTGGGTGTGTGCCCACTCCCCAAAAAAAGCACAGCTCAGCAGCTCCTGCTACTTCACAAAGGGATTTGGGGTGGGGGGAGACCCTTGGTGGGGGGGCCCTGCTGCCGTTCCCTCTCTTTTTGGCCCTGCACAGTTGGGATTCTCACATTTGGGATTTTCACATTGGGGTTTCTCACAGCTGGGATTTTCAGATTTGGGATTCTCACAGTCGAGATTTTCACATTTGGGATTTCCACATTTGGGATTCTCAGGATCCAGAGGGGCCCTGAGCTGACAGCGCTGTGGGGAAACACGCTGGTGTGGCCCAGTGCCCTGGGGTGGGAGAGGGATGGGGACCACCCTGCGCCCCGGGCACAGCCCCAGCTGCCTCCCAGTGCCCCCAGTTATCCCCAGTTCATCCCAGTGCCTTGCACTGCGTCCTGGTCTTGCTCCATGTCACTCTCCTGCTCCCAGTCCGTCCCAGTTCCATCCCAGTGCTGCCCTGGATGGAGCTGTCCCCCAGTGGGGGGTCCAGGGGGGGATTTGGAGCCCAATTTGGGATTTGGAGCCCAATTTGTCTTTGCCCTTGTGACAGAACTCGTGGCTGGGTCCCCAACATTCCCAGTGGAGCTTCCAGAAGCTTCAGCGCTGGGAACACACACAGAGAGCTGGGCCTGAAACCCCCAGATTCCCCAAATTCCCTGCATCCCCCCCAGAATCCCCCTGAACCCTCCCAGAATCCCCAAATCTCCCTGAACCCCCCCCCAGAATCCCCAAATCTCCCTGAACTCCCCCAAAATGAGCCAAACCTGGGGTGTCCCGGCCCCAAACCCCTCCTGGTCCCCCACAGGCACCCCAAACAGGGACCCCACTCCCCCATCCCTCCGCCCCTCCCCCCCCGGGTGGTCACATTCGGGACAAAGGGGGCGGGGCCACGGGGCTGGTGGCACTTGGGGACGGTCCCCAAATGTTCCCCCCACCGCGGGGCTGTTTGTAGCCCCCTCCTCAAACACGACCCCCGACCCTGGGGGGAGCAGCGGCAGCCAGAAGGGGAGGGGGAAGGGGGGGGCGCAATAAGGGGCGGGGGTCGCGATATTGGGGAGGGTCCCAGTAAGGGAAGCGGGGTCACGATGCTGGATGCGGAGGGGGTGCTCGAAGCTCGATATGTCGCGATAGTCGGCACAGGAAGGGTTTGGGCTGCCGGGCGCAGCGAGGGCAGCGCTGGCGGTGGCGGCAGCGGTGACGGAGCACGGCGGGGGGGCGGGGCATGTCGCGACAGCGAGGGAGTGGTCGCGATAACAAAACCCCCCCAAAACCCGCCGCT